CCGCCAGCGCCGGGCCGAGGGCCCCGACGACGCCGCGCTCGAAGCCGCCGTGCGAGACGCCGCCCGCGGCCTCCCGCAGGAAAGTCGCCGCGTGGAACGAGCGGCTCGCGAGGTCCAGCGCGGGACGGGCCGGCGACCCCGCCGCCTCCAGAACGTCGTCCATGGCGTTCAGATGCGATGGAAATCGATCGATCTATCGATATCTCTCTCTATATATCTCTATATATATAGGTATATAGAGATATAGATATAGGTATGTATATAGGGATAGTTGCCCCTGTCTGGGGGTTGTCCCTTCGGAAGCCTGGAGAGACGGGTTAGTGTTCCCCTCTCCCCCCTCCCCCTCTTAGTGGCGTCGAATGGCTAATCGACACGTGGAAGTTGCTATAAAATGTTTAACAAGAAGGCTAGTTTATGTGGTGGTCGCGTGAGTTCGCGGGGGAGAAGGAACTAGTGATCAAAGAGTACCTTGTGGTTTCCAAGTCGCAATCATACACACATTGCATAGAATACCAAATTCATTTTACTACCCCGTGGTTATTGATTTCGCTTGTATTCACGCCGATGAATAGATATTCTTTCATTCATGCCAGATGGCATTTTGAAGGACTTTAATACCTGAAAATAAAAAATACCTATAACAATGAAACCCTAATTGCGCTGCTTCTCTAATAGAACGTACAGCCCATTTTAACATTCGGTTCGTTAGTAATTGGTGGAATCATTTTGCTTTATAGAGCACACAAAAGGCGCATTCTGCGTCGTTTCCTCAATCACAGAAATCGACTCAAGGGTGGGCTTCACGAGTTGGTCGGACAGAAGATTGCGCATTCGATAGATGTAATAACGCCGGTAGCGTTGGGTATAGTCCCGCATAAGCCCTTCATTGATGGCGGTGGTGTATTGTAGTTTGCTGAGATAAAAAGCATCTTTGACGTCGTACACATCACTGGCGAGACTGCGGTACAAACTCAGCACGTGGTCGATCGCATTCAGAACGGAATCGATATAGTTGTATTCAAACCGCAGCCTTAAACAGACGTTAAAGTAGCGTTTGTCGGCGAGCTGCCGTTCTTTTTCCGCGACATCGCTCATCATGCTCGAGGCGTTGTGGAAATGCTCGGCGAGCTGCGTGAAGCACTCGGCCTTGCGCAGCGTGGTCCCGTAATCCGCCATCGCCGAGGCGGCTTTGGTTTGCTCGGTATTCCAATTGTTGGTGGAGTCGAGAAAAGTCTCGAAACTTTTCGCGGCCTTTTTAAAAAGCCCCTGGTGGTGATTCAAGACGTCGACAATGGCCTCCCAGGCCTTGGCATCCTCCTGAAGGTCCCTAGGGAGGACGGACCACTGCGCGCGCGGGTTCTCCCCGGGCCCCATTCCATCCCCGCCCTCCCCCCAAAATAACCCCGCGATGGAGCGGACGAGTTTGGTCGACTTTTTCGCGATTTTGTTTGTGGTGGATTCGACAAACCCGCAATTCCGCCGTTTGAAGAGATCCACCGTTTTGTTGACCAGTCGAAGATCCTTCAGGGCGGCCTGCAGGCGGGTCAGCGTCCCGGTCTCGAAGGTCTCGCGGGGGTCGAGAAAAAAAGGCGGGACCCACTCCGAGAAAAACATCACCTCGGGCATCGCCGCGATCTCGCTGAGGAAGAATTGAATGTTATACCGCTGCCGGAGCATCTGATCGGCCGCGTTGAAGTAGGTTTCGAGGTGGTTCACCCCGTCTTTGTCCGGCAAGGGGGGAATAATCATCCCGGGGAATTGATAGGTCAATATCTCACGAAGCTCCATCAGCTCTTTATACCGCCGCTCCACCGTCGCCCCGCTTGGGCGGCTCCAGTCGTTTCGCTTGACGCCGAGGCGAATCAGGCGCGGGTGGACCCCCGTCGGGACCTCCGGCGTGGTGAATTCCCCATCATTTTTCACCAAAACCTCCACCAAAATGGGAAAATACGTGATCGGGCGCAGGATTTCCTTGCCTTTGAAGGGCTTTCCCACGCTGAACTTGGCCAAGGGCTTCCGCTCCGAACGATAAGAGGGAGGGCGGGGTTTGGGGGGGGCGGAGTCGGATATAATCAAAGAACCCTCCACAGGGGACATCCCCGACTCCACCGCGCGGGTTTCGCGATTGTTTGAGGACGATTCGACCTCCCAGGCCAAATTAGACGTCAGGGCCGGGGGGTCACCGGGTTGTGGGGACTCCTCAAAAGGGGTTTGAGAAAGCATGAATGTATTTCAATGATTCAATACACTAGTTTACGTGGCAACCCTCCACTCAGAAAAAAAAACTAGTAAAAAAAAAAGCACGGATCAGATTGTAGCGCCCCTCGCTATAAACTTTGCAGGAAAGTCGGAAAAATAAGGCAACCAAAGAGGAGAAAATAAAATGGTCGTGCATTGGATAAAAATTCTGAATGGATATTTGGTTTGAAATATCGCAACTTCACAAAATTAAATCACCCTCAGATAGCAAAAATAAATACCACGGTGTCGTCAGTATCTAAAAGGGCTCTCAATGTGAAACCCAAAACTGTACATAGTAGGGAATAAAAAGGAAAAACATATTCACCATAAGCGTGGAAATTGTACAATACCTAAAGATCGAAATGGTTCCAATCCTTGCCTCATCAAAATAAAGCACGAATTGAGAGCGAATAGATCAAGTTGAACCCAAAAATCTGCCTTGGGGCGTAGTTTGCGCCTGACGTTATTCGCGTCGCCATCGCCAAAACTAACCGCAATTAGCGGGGTGTATATTTAATGCGCCGCGGTGCTCATCGCGGGGTAATGGCTCAGCTCCCGCATTAGCTTCTCCACATCTATGCTGTACTGTTTAATCTGCTTCACCAACTCTATATGCGCATTGGTTAACTCCACAACGCGGATTCGGCTATCATTAATACAAGCCTTCCGCTGTTCGTAATCCACTAGAAGGTTTTCGGAGCCGACCAGTGGGATTTTCTCGCGCATGCGTAAATTGCTGTTCAGAAACTCATCCCGACGCTTTTTCGACTGAGCTAGTTGGTCCCTTACCCCACCAAGCTCTTCCTCGATCGCAGCAACTTGAAAACGGAGCTCAGAGTTCTCCTCCCGTTTAAACTCTAACTTTTCCCGCATATGCGTCAGGACATGCACTGTCGTCGTGACTTTTCGACGTAGTTTCGCGATATCATCGTTGCGCTCTTCGATCTTTTCGTTTAAGTTTGCGTTCTCGATTTTAAGCTGCTCAAGGTCGATGAGATACATCCCATCGTTCGACCCCCCACCCGCCCCTTGTGAGGCGAGATGTCGTAATCGTTTGACTTCATTTTTAAGCTGAAGGTAGCGAATCCGCGCCTTTCGGATATTCCCCCGCTGTTTTTCATCATTTTCTAAAAACGACTTCACATCCTCGGCAGGAATTCGACGATTGGAATGCGTGAAGGCGGCCCGCTTGGCGACTTCGTGGATGAACTCTCGGAATTCTCCCTCTTGCTCGAGGACGCCATCAATGGTCGCTTGAAAGCGTTCTTGCAAATGCAAAAGGGATTCCTCGGCGGCCTGACGCTTTCCCAGCAGGCGGTTTTTCTCTTCATGAAGTTTGCGAACGAGTCCCCAGTATTGCCTCTCGGCCTCCGGCGGGGCGAGGTTGGGAAGGGCACGGTCCTCCCCTTTCCGCGCCCGCTGCTCGGCAAAATGACAGGCGATTCGATGTTGATAAATCAAATTATGATCGATTATCGCCGTTCGCTGGGTAAGAAGGGTTTCGTATTCCTGGAAAAGGGTGGCCTGCGTGGACCTCGCGGTCACCGCGGTTGACATTGTCGAGGATGACTCCATTTCGATCGAAACCGGCTTCGTCAGCTGCGAAATCGACTTCCCGCGCTCACGCCCATCGTCGCGTTCTTGAATATACAGCCGCCATTTCCGCTGAATGGCCTGTGCGGCTTGGTTTTGAATCTCCAAATTCCGCCGCTTCTTTGCATCGTCTTCGTACATGGGTGCAAGGGTGGTAGGGACAGTATACCGATACAGTGAGCGTGTGTGTAATTTATCAATTACTTCAAAAAAAACGAAAAGTTCCAACAGAAGAAAAGAGAAGTTGTAACACGTGTAAAGGGGAAAATTCGAATTGTCATCCAAGACATCTCTTAAAGTTGTTGAGAAAGGATAAATGGTTAGTTGCAAGACAGAGATTGTTGATTATAAAAGAAATGGGTTATATCATATATATATATATATATAATT